TTCAGTCAGCGGCGAGGCCGGCAGAGGCTAGGCTAAATCGGCGGCTAAACGCGGGACTGGGGGGGGGGGGGGGGGTTCCCGAGGCGCGGGAGCCCCGGGGCAGAGCGGAGGGATCCGGCCGGAGCCGGCGGCTCCCGCGAGAGAGGCTGACCCTGGGCGGTGCGGGCGGTGCCAGGGGGCAACCGCGGGAGAGTCGAACGGCCCCGAGGAGCGCCGGCCACCAGGGCTGGCAAACGGGGCGGCGGGGCAGTTGGTGCAGGGGGGGGGCAGCCCCCCTCTTCCTCTTCCCAACTGGAGAAGGCGACTCAAGCGGTGGGCGTCGGCCCGGAGGGAGACCCAGGTAGGGTTGCCACTCGGGTGAAAGCCATTGTTAGGAAAAATGTGGCAACGCAGACAGAGGTCCCATGTAAACATGCAGCTGTCCAGGTCTCTGGCTGCGGGGAACGCCTGAGTCTACCACTGATGCCGGAGGGCAGCAGGGACTCCTCTTGTGTGAGGTGTGACCAGGTGAACGATCTGCTCAGCCTGGTGGTAGAGCTGAAGGAGGAAGTGGAAAGGTTGAGGAATGTCAGGGAGTGTGAGAGGGAGATAGATTGGTGGGCCCACACCCTACCATCCCTGAGGCAGAGGCAGCAGATGGAGGCCCCGCAAGAAGTGGAGGGTCCCCCGCCCCCTTGCCACCGGGCAGGAGGGGACCTAAGAGATGGAGGGGAATGGATACAGGTCCCTGCTCGGGGAGGCAGGCAAATCCCCTCCCAGTCTCCCTCACCTTCCCAGTTGCCCCTACACAACAGGTATGGGGCTCTGGAACTTGAGGACCAGGCCAGTGAAGATCAGGGTGTAGATGAAGTCCTATCTAGGGAGGTGCCTAGGCCCAGTCGGGCAGCCCCACGCATTCTCACATCCTCTGAAAAAAGAAAAAGGAGGGTAATTTTCGTAGGTGACTCCCTTCTGAGCGGGACAGAGGGCCCAATATGCAGACCTGACCCATCCCACAGGGAAGTCTGCTGCCTACCTGGGGCCCAGGCAAAAGACATTACCAGGGAACTCCCTGGTCTGGTTCGGACCTCTGATTATTACCCATTGCTGGTTGTGCAGGTTGGCAGTGATGAGATTGCAGAGAGAAATCCAAAGGCAATCAAAAGGGACTTCAGGGCACTGGGACGATTAGTGGAAGGATCAGGAGCACAGGTAGTGTTTTCCTCAATCCCTTCAGTGGCAGGGAAATACACTGAAAGGAACAGGAAAACACACCTGGTTAATACGTGGCTCAGAGGCTGGTGCCATCGGTGGAATTTTGGTTTTTTTTGATCATGGGGAGGTTTACATGGCACTGGGCTTGCTAGCGACAGATGGTTTCCAGCTATCTCAAAGGGGTAAAAGAATCCTCGCTCATGAGATGGCAGGGCTTATAGAGAGGGCTTTAAACTAGGTTTGAAGGGGGTAAGGGATAAAACTAGGTGCACCAGAGATGAGCCTGGGGGCAGCGTGCTGATGTTAGGGGTGGATTCGATAACCCAGCTCAAGGGCATCTATGC